ACAAAAAAAATAAAAATAAATAAAAAAATCTAAATTATATATCTTTATGCTTCTGTCTCCTCGAACCCGTTGGCCTCAGCAGATGGCCGCTCACACCGAGTCTGGTTCTGCTGGAGGTTCTTCCTGTAAAAGGGGGTTTTTCCTCTCCACTGTTGCTGCAAGCATGCTTGGTGTGATGGATTACCTTTGAGTCAATGAGTCAATGCAATCAGCTGGTTTTCCTTAGATAGAAAACTTTGTACCAATCTGACGGCATGATCTGGTTGAATTGTCTCTATAAAGTGACCTGAGATGACATTATGTTAATTGGCACTGCAGAAATAAACTATATTGAATTGAAGCCGCTTCCCCAGATTTTCATTGAAATTCCCCTGAGACTTTAAACAATGGTGATATCTCAGCACTTTTTCTGTTCCAGGTGAGCGAAGTTCATCCGGGCTGCTGGAGTGGGAATCCATCAATGATGCTATGGAAGCGCTGGCTATGATGAACCATTATCAGATGAAAAACCCGAGTACGTCATTTTTCATGTGAAGTTTCCAGGCTAATCTGCTGAATTCAGTCCTACTCTTTAGATGCTTGTAACCATTTTTCTGTCTCATAGGTGGGCCTTATCCTTACACACTCAAGCTGTGCTTCTCTACTACACACCCCACCAACTGAGAAACTGATGAACTGCTTTTGGTTTCGTTGGATGTTGGGACACTGATTTTATCACATTCTGATAAAGAACTGTTAGCTAAAGGATTTATGTGATTTACAAAACACAGACTAAATTAAACATTTTCCTGTTTGTATTCATTTGTACTTTAACATCTGCTTTTTTTTGTTCAATCACTAGTTGATTATTTTGTATTCACAGTAATAAAATGGACCGCTTACCCCAATGTACTGTTTTTTTTAAATAAAGTGATGTTACTCTGTTGTAATGATTAATTTATTTATTGAGTTTGAGTGAAATTCAAGCATGACTGCATAGATTTCTAAACATTAATATGGATTTGATGGGCTTGGTCCTGCATTAATAGATTAACAATGGCTCTAAAAATCAATGCAAACATCTAAATGAACTTCAATTTACCTCTTATAATAAAATAATGGGTGTATTGAGGTAAGAAAGCACTTTTCTCTGCAAATATTGTTTTTTTTTCCACTGTTAAGATGACATCTGGAAGCTGCTGTGTGAGGTATCAGATCCAATGGATGAATCAGATGTTGCATATTTTCAGTCAGGTTAAATGATTCATCTTTTAGAATATTGTTTCTTCTTACTTATGCCTCAAATTGGGAACAAAAACAAAATGGATGATTGACAAGAAGCGTTTTAGACAAATCCACAGCAAACTACCCCTCTTGATTGGCTTAGGAAGGTGACTTGCACCCCTTTCCCTTTCTCTTATGCATTCTCTTAGAAACCCCATGGTAATCAGAAAGGATATAAATAAATTGAGATAAATGTCATGAAAAAGAGATTAACTTCAGATTTAAACACCGTTATATAAGCACTTGTTTCCTGATTTTGATCGACAGCTGATGGAAACCAGAAATGCATTTTCCCAGAAAATAATCCAATAAGTCAAAGGATTTTTTTTACAACAATGTTATGGCTGTGCATAAATAAGGATGCACGGCTAATTGACTCAACAGCTGTCCAGTCATTGACATCCTCCACAGTGATGGAGAGTCACTAAAGGTTACTGCTAAAAACTCACTGTTTAGATGATTGTTTCCAAGTATTCAGTCATGACGAGTTGAAAGGAAAACATGTTTTAGAATAAGATAGATGGTTGATTGGAATGATAAATCTCAGAGATCTGTAAGGCGAAGCCAATTTAAATGTGTTGTTGAATTAACAGCAGCTGGACTGCTTTTAAAACAGCACACAGACCGACAGTCTGGATCAGAACTGCAGGACGTTCTAAAGCAGAGATCATGCAAACCTCAGCTGAGGAGAAAATAACTGGTCTAAAGTCCTGCTTTTGATTAAAATAAACTTTCCATTTTAGATATTAAGGTCCTGGAGAGGCATAAAATCCAAATACAGTCGTGTTGAAAATAATAGCAGTCCCACATCTCTAGCAAAACACATGACTGTTTTTGTTAGAATCTCAGCTCCTACACTTCCAGTTAGGATTCCAGAAGTTACATTCAGAATACAAACTTCTAAAAGTACTTTAGTATGAAATTATTACGTACTTTTCAATAAATGATACGTGTTTTCAGGCTCGGACTGGTAATATGTGGGCCGGTCCGAATTTCAGCATGCAAGGGCCGGCCCTCCTTAAATCATACCGGCCCAAACATAAGAGAACTAAAATGCTTTCTTTAAACCAAATTATGAAACCAAATTATGATGTTCCTCTTGTATTTGGTGAATTTATGTTTGAATATTTTGCAAAAATATGTTGCGGTGCATGATGGGGTTTTGCATCTAAAGGCTAACCTTTCCCGTCCATTGTCGCCAGGTTGGGATGTTTCCCAATCTGGCAGATTAGGATGGCCGTCTATGGGTAAAAAAAAAATTCTTTAGATTTATGGCCTAAGAGATCAATAGACTTTGGTTCAAATTGGGCGAGATTTCGTATATCCAGGCGGTTTATGAAAATGTTTTGGGCTAGAAAACGTGAGTCAATGACATCTGGCATCACGCAGCAGCAGTCACTGTTGTGTCCGTGTTCATAGCCAGTGAAACCGCATTATAGAAGTCTTGGTGATGGTTTTCGTGTGATGCTTGAACATAGATCAGTTAATCCACAATGTATACTCATATTGTGTTTCACATTTGGGGGGGTGGGTGTCCATAAGTGGGCCGATGTAGTTGGAAAAATGCCAGGGCCGAAAAATCATTCCCAGTCCAAGCCTGAGTGTTTTTAATTAAGAGTAATTTTCATTTGAATGTGCTTTACTTGAGACATCCAAAGAACATTACTGCCACCTATCACTTTGTGATGTGAGTGGGACTTGCTGTGGAGCAAGTCCCACTGCTATGCTGGTGTTTGTCACAATGCGTTATTATGCATGATGGCGACAACCAGCTCACTATGTGAAGCAGAGAGTGACAGATTAATGACGTGTTTTTTCTCTAGCCAGGAGTTTGATGGCAAATCCTCCCTCTTCAAATTGGCAATTCAACGATGAACCCATGGTGGATCATGAATCGGAAAGGTGAAATAACTCTTTTTTTTTTCACTTTTACCCGATGTATTACAAAATCCAACTGTCATGAATGTGGGCATTGTCAGTTTAACTATAGCTCTCGCAAATTTCAATGGTGAAGTCCTCTGGAAATCTTAAATAATTGTAGTTGCAGGGTTGTCTATTAGTTCTCATTGACTTTGCTTGTAAAGTGGGGAGAATGGCGCTGGGCGTACCGCACCCTGACGTCACTGCCGGAAGATGTCAGGAGTCAGGTGTTACTCAATTTGAGCAAAAATAGTCGGTCCCAGTGATTGCAATGTAATTTTTATTTTTTTTTTGCTGATTAACGCGAAATTGAATATGTGACAGATCTGGTGATGATAGGCGGGACTCAGGAACAGCGGAAAAGTGAGAGAAAAAAATAAGATAATTTATTTCACTGCTGGATTTTCTTTTTAGATTTGAAATATACAGGTCCTTCTCAAAATATTAGCATATTGTGATAAAGTTGATTATTTTCCGTAATGTAATGATACAACTTGAACATTCATATATTTTAGATTCATTGCACACTAACTGAAATATTTCAGGTCTTTTATTGTCTTTATACGGATGATTTTGGCATACAGCTCATGAAAACCCCAAATTCCTATCTCACAAAATTAACATATCATGAAAAAGGTCTCTAAACGAGCTTTGCACCTAATCATCTGAATCAACAAATTAACTCTAAACACCTACAAAAGATTCCTGAGGCCTTTAAAGCTCCCTGCCTGGTTCATCACTCAAACCCCAATCATGGGTAAGACTGCCGACCTGACTGCTGTCCAGAAGGCCA